ACAATGAGAACAGTGATAAAGTTACAAATATAAAGTCACAACAAGAACACTCATAAAATTACGAGAATAGAGTTGTAAAATCACGAAAAAAAACTCATAGAAATACAAGAATAAAGTTGTAAAATTACACAAATAAAGTCATGAGAATCGTCATAAAATTCAGAGAATAAAGTCGTAAAATTACAAGAATAAAGTCATAAAATTACAAGAATAAAGTCATAAAATTACAAGAATAAAGTAATAAAATTACGAGAAAAAAGTCACAACGAGAATAGTCATAAAATTAGGAGTATAAAGTTGTAAAATTCAGAGAATAAAGTTGTAAAATTATGAAAATAAAGTAATAAAATTACCTAAATAAAGTAATAAAATCACAAGAATAAATTCGAAAAATTACAGAAAAAAAGCACAAGAGAATATTCATAAAATTGCGAGAATAAAGCCATAGAATTCCGAGAATAAAGTCGTAAAATTACACGAATAAAGGCGTAAAATTACGAGAAAAAGTCACAACGAGAATAGTCATAAAATTACGAGAAGTAATAAAATTACGAGAATAAAGTCGTAAAATTACAAGACTAACGTCACAACGAGAACAGTAATACAATTACGAGAATAAAGTCATAAAATTACGACAATAAAGTCGTAAAATTATGAGAATAAAGTCACAACAACAATATTCATAGAATTCCGAGAATAAAGTCGTAAAATTACACGAATAAAGTCGTAAAATTACGAGAAAAAGTCACAACGAGAAGTCATAAAATTAGGAGTATAAAGTTGTAAAATTATGAAAATAAAGTAATAAAATTACCTAAATAAAGAAATAAAATCACAAGAATATATTCGAAAAATTACAGAAAAAAAGCACAAGAGAATATTCATAAAATTGCGAGAATAAAGCCATAGAATTCCGAGAATAAAGTCGTAAAATTACACGTATAAAGGCGTAAAATTACGAGAAAAAGTCACAACGAGAATAGTCATAAAATTACGAGAAGTAATAAAATTACGAGAATAAAGTCGTAAAATTACAAGACTAACGTCACAACGAGAACAGTAATACAATTACGAGAATAAAGTCATAAAATTACGACAATAAAGTCGTAAAATTATGAGAATAAAGTCACAACAACAATATTCATAGAATTCCGAGAATAAAGTCGTAAAATTACACGAATAAAGTCGTAAAATTACGAGAAAAAGTCACAACGAGAAGTCATAAAATTACGAGAAGTAATAAAATTACGAGAATAAAGTCGTAAAATTACGAGAATAAAGTCACAATAAGAACAGTCATAAAATTATGAGTATAAAGTAGTAAAATTACGAGAATAAAGTCACAACGAGAATAAAGTAATACAATTAGGAGAATAAAGTCATAAAATTACGAGAAGTAATAAAATTACGAGAATAAAGTCGTAAAATTACGAGAATAAAGTCACAACGAGAATAAAGTAATACAATTAGGAGAATAAAGTCATAAAATTACGAGAAGTAATAAAATTACGAGAATAAAGTCGTAAAATTACGAGAATAAAGTCACAATAAGAATAGTCATAAAATTAGGAGTATAAAGTTGTAAAATTCAGAGAATAAAGTTGTAAAATTATGAAAATAAAGTAATAAAATTACCTAAATAAAGTAATAAAATCACAAGAATAAATTCGAAAAATTACAGAAAAAAAGCACAAGAGAATATTCATAAAATTGTGAGAATAAAGCCATAGAATTCCGAGAATAAAGTCGTAAAATTACACGAATAAAGGCGTAAAATTACGAGAAAAAGTCACAACGAGAATAGTCATAAAATTACGAGAAGTAATAAAATTACGAGAATAAAGTCGTAAAATTACAAGACTAACGTCACAACGAGAACAGTAATACAATTACGAGAATAAAGTCATAAAATTACGACAATAAAGTCGTAAAATTATGAGAATAAAGTCACAACAACAATATTCATAGAATTCCGAGAATAAAGTCGTAAAATTACACGAATAAAGTCGTAAAATTACGAGAAAAAGTCACAACGAGAAGTCATAAAATTACGAGAAGTAATAAAATTACGAGAATAAAGTCGTAAAATTACGAGAATAAAGTCACAATAAGAACAGTCATAAAATTATGAGTATAAAGTAGTAAAATTACGAGAATAAAGTCACAACGAGAATAAAGTAATTCAATTAGGAGAATAAAGTCATAAAATTACGAGAAGTAATAAAATTACGAGAATAAAGTCGTAAAATTACGAGAATAAAGTCACAATAAGAACAGTCATAAAATTATGAGTATAAAGTAGTAAAATTACGAGAATAAAGTCACAACGAGAATAAAGTAATACAATTAGGAGAATAAAGTCATAAAATTAGGAGAATAAAGTCATAAAATTACGAGAGTAAAGTCATAAAAGTACGAAAATAAAGTAGTAAAATTGCGAGAAAAAAGTCACAACGAGAATAGTCATAAAATTATGAGAATAAAATAGTAAAGTTACGAGAATAAAATAGTAAAATTTTGAGAATAAAGTAACAAAATTACGAAAATAAAGTATCAAAATTACGAGAATAAAGTAATAAAATTACAAGAATAAAGTAGTCAAATTACGAAAATAAAGTCACAATGAGAACAGTCATAAAATTACGAGAATAAAGTTGTAAAATTGCGAGAGACAAGTTCTCGCAATTTTACAACTACAAGAAGCACTTTTTTCCCTAAAATGAGGAATGTCGAGCATCATGTGAAGTTATGCTTTGGCTCTGGTTTGACAAACAAGGAAATCTTTTAGCACCAGCATCTAATTGGGCAGCAGGTCAAAGTGAACTCAGGTTGCTGGTTGGGCGTCATCTGCTGGACAGAACTCCAAGTTTTCTTTCTGAAATGGTTTGTTCATTGATGACTTCATTCTCGAATTAGGAGAAATAAATCTCTGGCCCGGAGCTCAGTCGTATACAGGTGCTGGTCATAAAATTAGAATATCATGAAAAAGTTGATTGATTTCAGTAATTCCATTTAAAAAGTGAAACTTGTATATTATATTCATACATTACATACAAACTCATATATTTCAGATGTTTATTTTGTTTAATTTTGATGATTACAAATGACAACAAATGAAAATCTCAAATTCATCATATCAGAAAATTAGAATATTGTGAAAAGGTTCAAAATTGATGGCCCCTGGTGCCACACTCTAATCAGCTAATTAACTCAAACCACCTGCAAAAGCCTTTAAATGGTCTTTCAGTCTAGTTCTATAGGCTACACAATCATGGGGAAGACTGCTGACTTGACAGTTGTCCAAAAGACGACCATCGATACCTTGCACAAGGAGGGCAAGACACAAAAGGTCATCGCTAAAGAGGCTGGCTGTTCACAGAGCTCAGTGTCCAAGCACATTAATAGAGAGGCGAAGGGAAGGAAAAGATGTGGTCGAAAAAAGTGTACAAGCAAGAGAGATAACCGCACCCTGGAGAGGATTGTGAAACAAAACCCATTCAAAAATGTGGGGGAGATTCACAAAGAGTGGACTGCAGCTGGAGTGAGTGCTTCAAGAACCACCACACACAGACGTATGAAAGACATGGGTTTCTGCTGTCGCATTCCTTGTGTCAAGCCACTCTTGAACCACAGACAGCGTCAGAAGCGTCTTGCCTGGGCTAAAGAGAAACAGGACTGGACTGCTGGTGAGTGGTCCAAAGTCATGTTCTCTGATGAAAGTAAATTTTGCATTTCCTTTGGAAATCAAGGTCCCAGAGTCTGGAGGAAAAGAAGAGAGGCACTTCATCCACGTTGCTTGAAGTCCAGTGTAAAGTTTCCACAGTCAGTGATGGTTTGGGGTGCCATGTCATCTGCTGGTGTTGGTCCATTGTGTTTTCTGAGGTCCAGGGTCAACGCAGCCACATACCAGGAAGTTTTAGAGCACTTCATGCTTCCTGCAGCTGACCAACTTTTTGGATGCAGATTTCATTTTCCAACAGGACTTGGCACCTGCACACAGTGCCAAAGCTACCAGTACCTGGTTGAAGGACCATGGTATCCCTGTTCTTAATTGGCCAGCAAACTCTCCTGACCTTAACCCCATAGAAAATCTATGGGGTATTGTGAAGAAGAAGATGCAATACACCAGACCCAACAATTCAGAAGAGCTAAAAGCCACTATTAGAGCAACCTGGGCTATCATAACACCTGAGCAGTGCCACAGACTGATCGACTCCATGCCACGCCGCATTGCTGCAGTAATACAGGCCAAAGGAGGCCCAACTAAATACTGAGTGCTGTACATGCTCATACTTTTCATGTTCATACTTTTCAGTTGGCCAACATTTCTATAAATCCTTTGTTTTTATTGGTCTTCAGTAATATTCAAATTTTCTGATATGATGAATTTGAGATTTCATTTGTTGTCATTTGTAATCATCAAAATTAAACAAAATAAACATCTGAAATATATGAGTTTGTATGTAATGTATGAATATAATATACAAGTTTCACTTTTTAAATGGAATTACTGAAATCAATCTACTTTTTCATGATATTCTAATTTTATGACCAGCACCTGTACATCTATGAATTTCTGCAGGACAAATATTAAGTTTTCACTCCTCTCCACTCCTTACGGTATCATTCCTGGAAAACAAATGTTTATTCTTATGATCATCTTTAGTCAAAGTGACATTAACGTTTTAAAATAAAGGAGAATACAGCAGTAAAATCAGTTAAACATAGAAGAGTTTTTCTTCGCATTTCAATACCAGACAGAACCACATCATTTCAGCAATGAGGATTTCTCTATTTTTCTGAGTTCTGGTTTTTCAGCAGGTGTGGTCTCCGTTCTTAAGAATTTTAGGATCCAATAAATATATTTAGCTTTGAAAAAGCTGGCGCTGCTGTGGTTTAAGTGGAGCTTTCCAGACAGGTGCAACAGATTCACCTTCAGGAGGGTGAGGTATGGGCTCAGGGAGGAACCCCAGTGGGAACCGGGCCAGAGTGACACTCACCTGAGTCCGGATTAGTTCCAGGTCCGGTTCCCGCATGAATCCTTCTCACCTGGTCACTTTAAACCTGATCAAACCAGAGAACGCTGCAGGACAACTGATAGACGCCCCGATCCAACCACACGGAGTTCAGAGGAGGATCAAACCGACCATCAAGCTGATGAGGAGAAGAAGAAACTGGGCGGAAATGTCTCAACGGGGCCTTCACAATAAAAGCCAACAACATCAATCTAGTCCAGGGGTCACCAATAAAAATCAGTGGGGTCCGAATAAAGAAAATCACAAACCAGTAACCAGTCCGGAGGAAAAATAATAATAATAATAAAAAAAAAAGAACATTTGCCCATTTTAAAATGTAAAGTGTTTTTTGAAGTAGAGAACAACATGCGTTCAGTGTGGTATAAAGACAATTTCCTGATTCACATATTTTATATAACATCTGAACTGACTGTTTTCTTTCTTTTTTCTGTCTTAATGAGAGCAGTGGGCTTTAGGCTGCCCTGCAAGGCTTTAAATCTGGGTTTGAATGGCGACAAAGATATTCTAAAGCACATATCAAGGTGCTTATTTTAAGCCTGGATCTATATTTTTGATTCTGTTCATGGTGGAGAATCCTGCTTCACAGCAGCAGGTTGAGCCAAACATACTCAAAATGTGCAGGGTCATCTTTCAGCACGCCATTTCACTTTTCTTAAACCAGTTTACCACAGTTCTTCCAGCAGTCCACACTTTCAATGCTCTCTTCTTCTCATCGTCTTCTCCTTCTTTCCCATCGCGGCGGCTTGCCACATGTTTGCCTGCTGTGTCTTAAAGCGGCTTGCAACAGCAACCCAGACTGACAGCAGCTCATTGGCTAATTTATATCACGTGTAGCCTGGTCCTGGAAGCTCCAGATAGCTTTACTGTATTAACAGGAGAAAAGGTGCAAGTGAAGTTAGATACCGTCCACAAACAACTTGGTAATTTATAAATGTTTTCAATCAGGTTGGGTCCAGATTAGCCAGCAGTTGGGTCCGGATCCAGACTACGGCCCGCTAATCCGTGACCTCTGATCTAGTCTAAAACATTAAAACTTCCAGATAGGACAGAATCTCCTCTCTATGTGACATTTGTTTGTCCAAAATGCAGCTACCGCCAGATTGTCCAAAATCTGTCAGTATTCCTAAAGTCCTTTCATAATACAGCTTTACGAGGGTGTAACTTTGCGATAAAAGTTGGTGGGGACGCTCTAAGGGTGGTGGCTGATGGACCTGCAGTTACTCAACCCAAACGCTTACAATAGGGTTTGTATTTTCAAAAATTGAGCTAAAACATATATTTATTGAAAGCTTTACTATTGTTTAGAACACAAGAGTAACACAATACATTTGTGGTATTTATAGTTACAGACAGATGCCTGCCTTTAGTGCATTATTTTATAAACGGTTAAAAAAACATTAATGTATAAAAAATGGCGAATAACAGCCGATAGGCTACCAATGCCAACATCAATATATCATGCACCCCTAGTATGGACACAACTTCACTTCCATCCATCCATGCATGGCTTTCCTTTACGCTGCATCAGTGATTAACCTCCTTCACAAGCAGCAACATCTAATTTAGAAATTTGCCCCATTTGTCAATGACAGCCAACAACTATATAATGAACCTTATATTTGAAAAATCATTCATACTCTGATTTTTATTATTTGTGCTTTAATTCCTGTAGGTTACTTTAATTTTCAGTCTGTGTCCTGTGAGTCCAACTCTCGCTGGGTTGACTGACTATTTCTTGCTGAACTACAAAAGACAAGAATTTTATTAGCGTATTTTTTCTTGTAAACTTGGGGATATATTTTTTGATTTATATTTTTAAATCTGTTTCACCTTTAAATCTGCAGCTGTCCCTACTTCCTCTCTACCAATATAATGATGCCAGAGAAAATTATTTTCAGGATATCTAGCAGCTCTGCAGTGTGATTCTCTGTTCAATAAAAAAAAGCAACAGATATATGTTCATTTTAATCTCTAACTCTGAGTAATGGTCCTCTGAGAAGCCCAGCTTTTTTTCAACTTATTTAAATGTACAATCAGTTGTCATTTTTAGCTGAAAAAGCTCTGTATCTACATTTACCTATGCCTATCTGTCCTGGTCATGGTCCCACATTGCCATGGATTTTGTTACAGAGTTGCCCTTGTATCATTGACAGGTTTTCTTCTGGTCTGTCAACTTGGCTCAGATTTGACCTCGGCTCGGGATATTCTCTCATGGGCACTGAGGCATGAGAGGTGGCACTTTCTCTGAGCTCTGGAAATGTCTACTGCTGCAAACGGCCGACAATCACCCTCCCAGATTCCTCCCTTCCTCTGGGATCGTACTGGACTTTGAACCAGTTCAGTGACTTTTTCCTCCTAGTCATGATCAGCCCGACAATCCAGTCACTGACCTGTGTTTTTTATCTCTGCAGAGAATCCGGTTATCCGCTCTGCTGACGACCAGCCACTCACTGTGTTTGTTGTTAGAATAAAGCCTGCTAAAAGTCATCCCGGTCTGTCTGAATACTGGGTCCAAGATTCTGAGGTCATTACATGGGCTGTGGATCTATGATATGAGCGGCTAGGGCGTCTAAAGCAGGAAGGTCCATATGAGAGAAACACAGGTTAGTAACCACCATATTCTGATTCGGATGAATATGAAAGTGCGTCACTAACCTGGTTTGACTGTTCAATCCATGCCCAGAGAATGAGCATGATTCCAGCCGGTCGGCTGACAAGACACAGCTGACACTGCCAGAGAGTTACAGACGCTAAAACCAGGAAGGCTGCAGAGCAGGAGGCCAGATCCAAGCAGACAAAGGAAGGCAGGATAATCCAAAGGGCGAAGTCAAGAGGCAGATCCAGGTTCAGTCCACAGAAGAATTCAACAGGTGTCCGAAGACAGGTCAGGCAAAACTCAGGAGTCCAGAAGCAGAAACTAGTCAGGATAAGGTAATCAGAAATACTGCATTATGCTAGAAAATTCTCACACGAGGCTCGACAATAATCTGGACATGATGGCCGGGACCAAGGAGTTTAAATAGAAGCAGGAGCAGGTTGACCAGAAATGAGCAGTTAAGCCAGGCATCAAACCCAAGATCATGACAAATACAGCTATACGCTGGTGAAGATGGCTGAAATATTGGTGTCATTATAGAATCAGACAGAAACTATTAGAGGCTCATTAAGGCAGTTACTAAGTGAGCCTTTTATCGACTGAAGAACATTTCCATGATCAATAAATTCTGGCAGTTTCTTAACCTCTTAACATCCACCTCATTGTGGGTAATCCTCGCCTATTTTGCCTACCGACATGGAAAAGAAAATAACTTAGGAACTATAAGCTCAAATTACATGTGCAAAACATTATTTCAAAGCTAACAGCCTCTAGTTTCCTAAAATTGGCTGACAAGAACACAGACCAACCTGCATCAGTTCAAACAAAGTTGAATTCAAAGTTGTTTTTTTCATTCTCGGAAATTATAGGTCTTTTTTGAACAGCAGTAATAAAAACATTCTTAAGAAAAGGCAGATTTTATTGTATTATATTTGTTCTACATCATGTCAACCACAAATGCAGAACAGTTCAGATCTTAAGCTATTACAGTTCCAGAGCTGTGGGGTAAGCAAGTTTTCCGATTAGTGGGCTATCTTGGTTTTGTCTTAGCCTTGACAGTTGTTGGATTTATAATCCATCCATTCTTAAAAAGACACGCCAAGACATAAAGGCTGTAAAATGAAAGTGACTAAGATCTGTTAAGCTCGTAGCAAGATTTTACATGGCTCCTTTGAGTGACTTGGATTAGCCCTTCTTAATTTGCTGAATTAGAGCTTTAAATTATAGCTTTTTTGTTTAGGTGTTAATCTGTCTTGTCTGCAATTGCATGCATGTTAAAGCAGACAGAAAGGGCTTATCTGGGATTTGAACCCGGGACCTCTCAAAACCAAAGCGAGAATCATACGCCTAGACCAACAAGCCCTTGCAAATCTCTTTCTTAGGTGGCATTGTCACACCCAATGGCTTAACATAAAGCCCTCACCTATAACCTTAGTGCAATTATTGCTACTTCTAGGCAATTCAAACATTTGTTGCTTCCAGGGGCTCGTTACTCTAGAATTATGTTTCAGGGTCTTTTTGTGTGTGGTCCTTGATAGAAATCCTGTAGAAATCCTTAATGACGCTTTAAGGAATACCTTCATTCAGACTGCTGAAGTTAGACCGGTAGTTACACCATTATTACAAGATTATTCTTGTTTTTTCATGTATGAAACCATCTAAGCTCTCATTGGATGAATAAATAAACTGATAAGTGGAAAGTCCTGTGCTTTGTGTTCACACGAAGCATGCAAGGTTTTGCAAGTAGGAAAACCTTCCTGTGGTCTTAGCAAGATGTTTTGGCATTGTTTTGAAATGACTTTTTGCAGGCTGTTACAGAACCTGACAAATCCCTGTAGATTCTTGCTAAGACTCTTAACAAGGTACTCTGAAATGTATTCAATCTTTGAGTTGTATCACCAAAACAACTTCTGTATAAGAAGGAGTATTAAACAATGCACAAATTTGAGCAACTTCCAATAGGGAGTAGGGGTGTGTTACTGGAAAGCATCCTGCTATCTTTATCATCCAATCATCCTACAAAAAAAGAGAAAAAAAATACAACAACCTCAAAGATGCTATCAGGTAAAAAATTACATTTCAAGAGTTTCAAAGTATGAAAGCATGATGTCTTGCTCAACAGAATAAATGAATTTCTTACAAGACATTCAACTCTTTCCTTAAGAATCAACATTAATATGTTTGGTTATAATTTTAAGCAAGTTTGTGGTAATTTTCCGATTAGTGGGCTTTCTTGGTTTTGTCTTGGCCTTGACAGTTGTTCAATTTATATTGCATTATTAAACAAACATGCAAAGAGATAAAGGCTATACAATGAAAGTGACTGAGCTATGTTAAACTAAAAGCAATGTTGGGATGGCTCTTTTTGACGACCTGCAGTAGACCATCTTAAGTTGCTGAATTTCAACTTTGAGTTATAGTTTCTGTTTAGGTGTTTGTGGTGGATGATCCTCCCACCACCACATTGTGTTAGTATTTTCTTTTCTTGCTTTATATTATATTACAATTTATGTTTAA